CAAAGTTTTATTGATGGTAATTCATCATACTGTGATATGATAGCCCGAGAATTAAGCACAGCAGATGTAGCATGTGCTACCAAAAAGAATGCATAAGAGACAGCCACACTGACTCTGCTTGGTATACTAAAAATAAATTAAAATTTTTCCGCCTTGGGAAGCCCCTGATCCTTAAAATATTACATACAATTAAAACTTTTAATATCCATGAGAGAAGTTAAATTAAAGGTAAATTTGAAAGGAATAGTACAGGCGTACCAAGACATTAACACTAAATATGATTTAACTGATGCATTTTTAGGCAATAATTGGCTATGTGATCTGAGCATGCTAAGGAAGATCCTTGATAGGAATCTAGAAATAGACGACAACGAGTACAGCGACAAAGAAAAAGAAGCTGTTCTAAATATAATCAAGAATCAGATCTACTGGCACTTTATGTATGGTGATTACAAGGTAAGGACTATGTGCAATTCGCATTCTCAATCAAGCTTTGGAGACAATGCATCACTTAAGTCTGATATTATCCCCCAGATTGATCAGATTATGAAATCAGAAGCAGCTATGCACAGGCCAGGAAATGAAATACGCATACAGGACAAAGCAGCAGAGAATGCCGATAGCACCAGTACAGATCTAAGCACTAAAACATACATCTTTGAAGTCGGCGATGTAAACTTAGAGAGTGTAAAACGCACTATCACAGAGTCTCTGAATAGCTATATTTTTTGCTTAGCTTCTAGTAAGGTATTGTCAGAGGGATTGAAATATTTTAAAAAATATTTGGTCAATAAAGAATACTACACGCTAGACGAGCTGTATACCATCCAAACCAAAGAGAAGGTGCCGCTCGTAGACTACGGGATGAATATTATTTATGAAAACTACAATGAAATTTTTAAACTATATAGAACAATTAAAAACAAAGAGATTAGCTCTAAAACAATGACTCTTTATGTAGCTAATGAGCTTTCGAAAATGTTCTCCTCAGAGGATCTAAAAATAATCTTCTCGATTAGAAAGAATTTAGATCTGATTAAAAAGGAAAAATTACTGCACAACTACTTCATTAGCATAATAGAGTACATGATGAATAACACTACGCTCTTAAAAGCACAGGATGGAGCTCCGTTGAAGCTAGACACTAACCTGCACAATTTTGATGTAAACTACATACTCACTAGTGCAGGGCTTAAGAAACTAGTGAACACCAGGATGGATGAGCTGCGCAATGAAATAAAAGAAAAAACTAAAGCACTGGAAAAGAAGAAAGAACAGAATAAAAAGAGCGAAAATAGCCAGACAGAGCCCTGCACTGATCCTCAGAAGATCAATGAAGATGAAAAAGACAAAATTGATATAAAAATGCTAGAGTGGAAATTGGCGAGAGAAGACAAACAAGACGATGACATCCATGACCTTCTGACTAGCCTAATAACCATATATGAGCTGAAACCCGTCCAGATAAAATACTTAGTTAAGAAGGTAGAAGACTTTGAAAAAATGCTGAACATGAAGCTGGAAAAAGAAAAGAAAATGCCAGACGAAGTGCTGGAAGAGAAAAAAGCAGCCGAAGAGTCGCTCAGAGAGTATCAGACAGTAGAGATAGGAGAGCCCAGAGAGGACGCGCCTAAGGAAGAAAAGTCCCTCCTAAAAAGAATAATAAGCCAGAAGGGGATAGTTGGAACAATGCTATCTACCGCTGTTGTTTTAGCAGCAGCGCCAAGAATGCTCACCAATTACACAAAGGGCGGAACAAACAGACATTCTGACAGTGAGAATCTACTGAGCTTTGAAGACGCGCCGGCGTGCTACGAACAGCAGATCAATTAGGAAACAGCAGAGAGTTCTCGGGCTATATTAATGATCCTGGCCAATTGGCATCCAAATAAAATGCTCTTAAGCTGAGTTTACAAATATTTTTATTTACTACTATTTTACTGAGCTTTATGCTGCTGTCTGTATGAAGTGATGAAAACATTGAGAATCTCGTTGTGTGCTCCCAGATTGGACCTGTTTGGGTTCACGTTCCGGAACACTATGAGCCCTGTTTTCGCGCTTTTTGGCCTTTTGGATACCTTTATCTCCCTCTCCTCGCGCAGATTCCCCAGTTTGATGGCTTTTCTGTTTCTTTTGCACCGCAGCGCGTCCTTTTCAAGCCGCACCTTTTCTGTGGTCTCTTTTGTACTGCACTGTCTCAAGAAGTCCAGGCGCTTTTCTATCTCTTCGATCTTCTTTTGTGTTTCAACCATTTCTGTCTCGATATTTTCTAGGCTCCTACTATCCCCGCTTTTCTTGCTGTTCTTTTTCGATGGCCAGACGCATATTTTGTATGTTTGGCTTTCTGCTCCCTCGTGCTGTGTGCTATCTTCGCTCAGCCAAAAGCCCTGCAGCTGGCTGTCCTTGTTGTACTCTCTTGACTCCACCGCTGTAATAAACGCATTAAACTCTCTTGCATTTCCCTCTCTCTCGAACTCTTTACTTGGCACACAGTGTGTGTACTCATCTGCCCCTCCCGGCACCTTCACATGCCAGACCGCTCTGAGAGTACCATTTTCCTCCTTCCTGAGCTGGCAGCACATGCTGTAGCACTCTGCATTTTGTATTCTATTTGGCAGGATGTACAGGTTGTTGTAGTACGTATACATGTCCAAATAGTACGGCCCCATGTACTTGTAGTCGTATACATACGTGTCGGGCTCTCTGTTTTCAAACTTTATGGAGTCCATCTCTTTGTGCTCCTCTGCCATCACAACAAAAAGACCCAGGCCCACTGCAGACCGCATGAGAGGCGTAAGAAACAGCGGGATGAAAATAACCTCCTCACTGTACGGATTGAGAGACCTGAACTCTGCAAAGGTAAACTTTGTTGTTCTTATGTCCTCCTCGATGTGATAGAACACTACCTCGTGTCCTCTCAAGTCTTTCACCGTCTGTTTTCTGTACCCTTCTTCTGTCTTGATATAAGACCACTCTTTGGTTTCCCTGTTCACTTTAAACGGGTGCACCACATCAGAGCTGTCTTTTATTCCATACAGCTGCTTTATGTACGCTACTGTGTCGCCAATCGTGTGCACATAGAACTCCTCTCCGCTGCCAGGCTCTTTGTACATGGGCATGCACAGCACTCTGACCTGGCCCAGTGTATTTTCCACATAGTACACATGATAGTGAGCAGGCGCATCGGGTGCGACAACCCATCTGTTCTCCTCAAACGAATACTCTGGACTCAAAAGCCTCCTGTCTCTGTCTTCTGCTGCTGTATCCACTGCGACTTTGCACTTCATGTGCATCTGGTTCTTTATTATGCACTTGCCTGCCAAAACATATTTGTTTTTTTTCTCAATCACTGCTGCCTTCTCATAGAACTTCGCAAGAAGAGTGTATATGGCGCGGTACAGGCCAACAGCTGTTGACTTCTGCACGGCCTCTTCGCCGTACATGTTTTCAAAGATGCAGTATAGAGCATTGTACACGCTCTCGTCTATCCTCTCTTCTTTGTGCATCTGCACTATCCTTTTTATTCTCAATAGAATCTGGCAGTTTTTCTTGTTTCTAGCTATGCTTTCCGAGGTGTATGTCTCTTCTATAAACTCGTCGCTGATCCTTGAAAAGTCCTGGGATACTTCGGGCAGCATTGCAAGCATGTGCACTGCATACGCCAGTGTGTGATACTTCTTTTTTAGCTCGCCAATCCTGCCCTGCTTTCCGCCCAGAGCGTAGTTCATTTCAAGACAGTCGCTCATGTAGATGTCGCCCAGGCTTTTCTTCCACACAGTTGGGGGGTTTTTTGCATTGATTCGCATAGGCTCGTGCTTTTCTACGTACGCTATCATATCATCAAGCACGCCGGGATAGTACCCTGCAAAGCTCTCTACCATTTTTCTGTATATGCTCTCAGTGTCCATGAACAGCCTCTTCAGCCCGAGAAGATCTTTGTATTTTGTGTTTGTGTTCGTGGTTCTACTTGCAATGAAGTAGCACAGCGCATTCTTCTCTGTTACCGGGGCAATGTACTCTAAAAACTCGCTGATGTCTATTTTAAGCTTTGTCTGGTACATCTCATTTTTCACCATGTAGATCAGACGGTTTTTTGAGCACTTGCTCTCACACAGGGTATTGTAGCTAATCTTGTAGCCCCTTCTTCCCGTGTTTTTCAGCCTTATACTGTTCCACAGATTGGTGTTGAGGTCTCTCATTGGTATTCCTGCAGCGCCCTTTCCTTTTCTATCTGCCATCATTATCTCAACAGACTCCTGGCCACAGGCAGCATCATATCTTTCCTTTGGTCTACCCTCTTTTCTGCCCCTCTTGTTTGGTGCCATAGATGAGTATTCAACCACGTTCATTGAGCTGTTTATGCTGCCGGCTTTTCTTTTCTGCCCTGCATCTGACCTAGCATAACTGTCATCTGTTTCACAGAAGGCATCTTTACCTATGCCAGATATTTCCACATCTTCCTGACAAGGCAAAAGCAGCTGCTTCATTTCGCCTATCGATAGAGGCAGCTGGCTCCAGATAGAGCCTTTATCTAGGCTAGTAGAGGCAGAATATGCACTCTTTGTACCGTGTGCACAGGCCATATTCTTGTTATTGGATGTATCCAGCATGCACTGCTCTTCTACCCTCTGCGGCCCCTCAAAAGTTCTATATACATCTGAGAAGATAGAGCTGCCCATCTCTGGATCAACGCAGCCTAGATCTAACCCATCTTCTATTCTACCATCTTCTGCTCTGGGCGGCTCTGCAATGCTGTTTGCTCCAGCAAAAACACTTTTATCTGTGCTGTACTCTGGTATATACTCCTTCTGTCCAAACTGCTCATACTCATCTGCTGTGTAGTCTGTTAGGTTGAGTCTTCCATCCAGCAAATCCCATCTCAGGTGGTCATCTGAAATAGCATCCTCCTGCCGCAGTGTTCTTTCCCCTCCTATCCATGGATCGGCGCTATTGCTAGGTGCATCCTCGTCAAAAACGCTCCAGCTTCCTCTGCACCTTATAATAAAAAAAGAAAGAAGTGCCGCACCAGCACCTAGCATTTTCTTCAGTTTCTGGGTTTTCATGCTAAAAATATGATTTTTTTCTATTTATACCTGCCAGCTAATAAAACACATTCTGGTTATTTTCTAATCTAAAAAGATCTTTACTGGCATCTGCATACACAATAAAAAGCGCAGGGATAAAATACTAGAAGATGCAAGAAGAGTACTAAATAGCACAAAATTTTCATCTCAGACTTTATTATTTCTGCTGCTGTCCAAATAAAAATAAGCAATGCAAAGTGTACACTCTTTGTTTAAAATAAATTTAAAATAAAAATACTGTTTATTCTCGGGCCCATTTCACTTAAATAAATTTTTAACATGCTTGCAAGTGCTAGCAGATGATGCAAAAAACTGGACAATAAAGGTGCTTGCTTTTTGAAAGAGCGATGCTTATTCTTCCTTGACAAAGGCTTTTTTGTTGAAGCGCGTGATCAATACGTCAAGGATCTCGTTGTGGGCGCACAGATTGGACTTGCTGTGGTTCACGTTGCGGAACACTATAAACTCTGTCGACAGATCAGGCTTTTTGGACAGCTTTATATACAGCTCTTGGTATAGGCTTTCCAGCTTCTTTTTTCTATCGCTTTTCAAAGAGGCTGCTGACTTCTTTTTTAGCATCTCCTCGCGCGTGTCTTCATCCTTCTTCAATGATCCGAGGCTTCTCTGGTTCTCTTCTGCGTGCTGTATTTTTTCTTCCTTGGCAGAGATCTCTGATGCAAGGTCTTTTAGAGACTTTCTGCTTATGTTTTTGTCGTATTGTCTATTCGAGAGCCACACATCTATTTTCTTTGTCTGGCTGTCTAGCGCATTGGCTCCTGCACTGTTTCTATGCAGCCAGAAGGCCTGCATCTCGCTGTCCTTGTAATATACTCTGGACTTCACTGTTTTAATAAAGGCACTAAACTTTTCTGCGTTTTCTTTTTCTCTGAAAGCGCCGTCCAGCACACAGTGTGTGTATGCACCCACACTGCTTGGCATTCTTGCATGCCACACAGCCTCAACTCTGCCATCGGTCTGCCTAGCTGCTGCACACTCCATAAAGTAGCACTCTGTGCTTTCTCTTTCCTCTGGCAGTATGTGCAAGTTGCTGTAGTAGCTATGCACATCTGAGTACTGCATGTCTTTGTATTTCTTCTCGTCATACTCATACACACTGGGCACTCTGTTTTCAAAGTCCATTGGCTTTGTCTCTGCATGCTCTTCTGTCATAATAAAAGGCCCCAGCTCCACCGCAGACTGCATCAAGGGCGTAATCAACAGAGGAATGCATATGCTGTCCTTTTTGTCTGAGCTAAAGGGCCAGAACTCTGCGAAAGTAAAGTTCGCTGTGTCTAAGTCTTCTTCAATGCGGTAGAACACCACCTCGTACCCTTCCAGGTCCTTGATCGTCTGCTTTCTCTCTTCTTTCTGGATGTACGACCACTCTCTTGTCTCTTTTCTTACTTTAAAGGGGTGTATGTGATAACCGTCTTCTTCTATTTCATACAGCACTCGTATGTGCTCCACTACCTCATCGATTGTGTGCAGGTAGTGCTCTTTTCCGCTTTCATCAACGTACATGGGCATGCACAGCATTCTGAGCTGGCATGTTGTATTATTCACACAGTATACGTGGTAGTGCCTGCACACATCAGGCGAAACACTCCATCTGTTCTCTTCAAGTGAGTATTCTACCTCTAGGCTGCCTCTGTCCGTGTCTTTTGATATGTCTGCCTTTATTCTGCACTCCATGTACTTCTGGCTCTTTATTATGCACTTGCCTGCGAGAACGTACTCGTTGTCGTCAAAAACCTCTGCATCTTCATAGAACCTTTCCAGAAGGGCATACATGTCTCTGTACAGAGTAACGGCTCCCATTTCTGACACTTTCTCTTCGCTGTACAGCTCCACAAAGGCGTTATAAAGCTTCATATACACATCGTCTATTTTTTCTTCATTGTTTTTTATTTTTATAGCCACGTCGCGTATGCACATGAGAATGCTTCTCTTTTTTTTGTTTGCAAACGGGTCAGCCGACGTCCGGGTTTTAAATATGTGGTTTTCATGCATGGTGGAGAAGTCTTGGCACACCTCAGGCAGCAGCAGAATCATGCGCGTGGCATGCGCTATCTCGTGGTACTTCCTGCCGATCTGAGCAGCGCTTTCCTGTTCCTTCAGAATGTAGAGGTCTGGGTCGGCGTCTTTCCGCATATAGACGTCCCCCAGCGTCTCCTTCCACACATTCAAAGCTTTCTTTTTACTAGCTTTCATCGGCTGGTGTTTTTGCACATACTCTATCATATCGTCAAACACGCCGGGATAGTATCCCTTGAGGCCTTCCACTATTTTCCTGTATTTACTATCTTTACTGTGTCTAAACAGGTCCCTTATTTTCCAAAGGTCTTTGTACTTAGCGTTGATGTTCGTGGACTCAATTGCAATGAGGTACCACAGCGCATTGTTCTCTATTTGTGAGGCAACTGTGCTGGAAAACTCTTCAATGTCATGTTTAAGCAGGCTCAGATCATTTTTCTTTTCTAGCTCTTCTGATATGTGTGCATCAGAAGTGTCGCAGGCGTATATCGACTTGTGTGTTAGTTTGTAGCCCTTTCTCCTTTTGTTCTCCAGCCTTCTGTCATTCCATAGTTTAACATCAAGGTTTTTTAGCTCTAGCTCCTTTCTCCTGCCTCTCATCCTTTTCTTCATCGCCGCTTGGTTTCGCCGCACTGGCTGTCTCCCACCATCCACCACAATTTCAACCGCATCCTGCTGGCCAATGGAGCTAGATTTTTCTTTTAAGGCACCGTCTTTTTTTTGCCTCTTGTTCTCGGGGGCAGATCGATGGAGGGGCGCATCTATGGGGCTGCTTATTTCAACCTCTTTTCTTTTTTTGCCTACAGATGCGCTAGCACTGCTGATTTCCTCCCCGCTAAAAGCGCTCCGGCCTCCTCGGCACTTTGCAATAAAGAAGCCAAGGAGCACTGTCCCTACCGCCACTATTTTCCTTAATTTCTGATTTTTCATGGAAAAACATTTTTTCCACTATTTATGACCCTGACCCAAGGCGCAGCTCTTTTATTGGTATGTATTGCATGCTAACTGATTCAAATAGTACCTGATGCCATCTTTCTGTGTCTAGTAATGCTGTGGATGTCTAGTTTGCAGTGTGTATTAGAATAAAACCTGCTGCTAGACTCTTTTTATTGCTATTGAGTGCTTTTGCATTCCTGCTCAACAGAAATTTATTTTTCCACCTATACAAAGAAACTGAGGGAAAAAGTAAATAATCAAGCATATGCTATATATATACTCTTCACATCCTTGCTACTTACAGAATAGAAATATTGCATATTCCACTTACTACTTGTTTTATACAGCACTTTTTGTTATTCTGATCTTTGACTTTAGGCCATCTGTCACTCAACCCTTCTACCATCCACTAGTTAAATGCAGTATGTAAAATAATTAAACAAGGACATTAATACTCTTTTTATTGCTATTATATGGGCATAAAAAATAAAAATAAAATCTTTCCGCCTTAGGAAGCCTCTGATCCTTACATTATTTCCTGCAATTAAAACTTTTACAATGACCAGGAGAGAAGTTAAACTAACAATCAATGTTGAAGAAATACTAAAGGAGTACCAGTCTATGGATAGAAACGATGCATCTATCACATCAGTTAGAGAGATAAGCCAAATGGTTATACTGAAGCGCATAGTTAAGAATAATCTAAAAATAGAAAGCAAGGAGCTTAGTGAGAAAAAGAAGGAAATTATTCTAAAAATAATCGAGAATAATATTTTTCAGCACCTTATATACAGTTTAAATGAAGGTTCTATTATGCGAACTATGGTATCTGAATTACTGTATGGAACTGAAGAAACAGTTAAATATGCATTTAAGCCCCTAGCTAATACACTTATAAATCCAGATCCGCTTATATACAATCCTGAGCATGGAATAAATAGACAGTTTGATATGCATGGAGAGATAGATAGTGTAGATCTATCTCGTGGAGAGCTTAACCTAAGCACTAGAAAATGCACTTTGATGGTTGATGATACAAACTTGGAAAATATTCTTCAACTTACCTCAGAGAGTCTGGATAGAGAGAATGCTTTTTTTGTCTCGAATTCAATGGATTCATTGAATATGAATCTTTTTAAAAAGTATACATCTGTAAAAGGACGCTACAGTCTGAATGACCTATACACAAAAGAAAAAAACAAAGTTCCATTGGTAGACTATGGACTGAAGCTTATTTACGAGAAATATCATTTAATCGAGCGTCTAATAGAAGACATCAAAGAAATGAAAAGCCCTAGCAGCAATGACATACAGGATATATCTGCAAGACTCAGCAATTTGTTTAAAAATGAAGAGTTAAAAGTAGTCTTTTCTATTCTCAATAATAAACAGAAAATTTTGAGTGAAAAAATAATATATATCCTTATACTTAAGACATTAGACTGCATGGCAACCAGCACTGATCTACTAGGTGGAAAAGGTGAGCCAAAAGTGCTGAAGATAAAAGCAGACTTGAGCAACTTTAATAAAGACTATATAAGTGAACACGATGGCTCGTTTGAAATAATGTCTAACAAAGTGGAAAACTTATGTGGTGAAAAAGAAAGCCAGATTAAATCTGTTAGCATTGAACACAAAAAGTGGAATACAAAAGAAAAGAGTCTAAAAGAGTGGAAAAACACAACTGACCTTGATCCAAGCTCGCAGGAGTACCAGAAGATAGTGAGAAAAGAGGAAGAAGAGATAAAAAGTATACTGCGTGAAATTAATTTCCTAAATAATAAGATATATTTATCAAAACTTGATATTAAAAAAGCAAGATTGATTTGTAAAGCTATTGGTACTCTTCAAGCTATCTTTAGTGTATTATCTGACTTAAGTTCAGTTCAGAAACAATACTTACTCAAGAAGATAAAAGAATCTGCAAAACTACTGAAAGTACAAGTGGTGGTAACCGATGAGGTAGAAGTAGCAGAAAAAATGGAAGTAGATGAGCCAGTTGAGCAGCATCAGACACTAGACATGTCTGGTGAAACAGGGTCTAGCTCAGCAGGTGCATCAGTCCGGACAAGCACTCTTGGAAAAGTATTAGCGGGTGGCCTTCTTGTACTTGGATCAACAGTATATACTAGCCATCGTTACTCAAAGAGCAAGCCAACGTCTGCAGCCAACAGTGACAGTGATAGTTTATATCACGTCATGGACAGCAGACAATTACAAAACATGAACAGTCATAACATGTCTTGAGCTATCTGGCTTAGCCAGCTACTATCAAAATAAATTAGTTTTAATTTTATTGCTTTTACGTTGCCAAACCATAATCTTTTTGGGACATACTATCACAGAAACTATAAGAGGTAATATCGAATACCATTAGAAATTCGAATAGAATATCAAGTATTCTCTTATAGTTTCGAAGAAAAAGCAGCTCATACAGCTATCTAGTCATTGAAAGATGTGCTAAAGCTCTTAGCTTTAAGTAATTCTATTGTCATTATATGGGCATAAAAAATAAAAATAAAATATTTCCGCCTTAGGAAACCCCTGCTCCTTAAATTATTTTTTTGCTATTAAAATTTTGTAATATGGCGATGAAAGAAGTTAAACTAACAATCAATGTCGAAGGAATACTAAAGAAGTGCCAGTCTATGGATAGAAATGATGCATCTATCACATCAGTTAGAACGATAAGCCATATGAACATGCTGAAGCGCATAATTAAGAATAATCTAAAAATAGAAAGCAAGGAGCTTAGTGAACAGAAAAAGGAAACTATTCTAAAAATAATCAAGAATAATATCTTTCAGCATCTTACATACAGTTTAAATGAAGATTCTACTATGCGAACTATGGTATATGAATTACTGAGTGGAGACGAAGAAGATGTTAAATGTGTATTCATCTCTCTAGCTAATACACTTATAAATCCAGATCCGCTTATATACAATCCTGAGCACGGAATAAATAGACAGTTTGACACACATAGAAAGATGATAGATAGTGTAGATCTATCTCGTG